GGGTCACAGTGAGCATTTCATTGATGCCATCAAGACCAGGAGTCACAGTGAGTATTTCATTGGGGCCATCAAGACCAGGAGTCATAGTGAACATTTCATTGGGACCATCAGTCCATGGGTCACAGTGAGCATTTCATTGATGCCATCAAGACCAGGAGTCACAGTGAGTATTTCATTGGGGTCATCAAGACCAGGAGTCATAGTGAACATTTCATTGGGACCATCAGTCCATGGGTCACAGTGAGCATTTCATTGATGCCATCAAGACCAGGAGTCACAGTGAGTATTTCATTGGGGCCATCAAGACCAGGAGTCATAGTGAACATTTCATTGGGACCATCAGTCCATGGGTCACAGTGAGCATTTCATTGGGGCCATCAAGACCAGGAGTCATAGTGAGTATTTCATTGGGGCCATCAAGACCAGGAGTCATAGTGAGCATTTCATTGATGCCATCAAGACCAGGAGTCACAGTGAGTATTTCATTGGGGCCATCAAGACCAGGAGTCATAGTGAACATTTCATTGGGACCATCAGTCCATGGGTCACAGTGAGCATTTCATTGATGCCATCAAGACCAGGAGTCACAGTGAGTATTTCATTGGGGCCATCAAGACCAGGAGTCACAGTGAGCATTTCATTGGGGCCATCAAGACCAGGAGTCACAGTGAGTATTTCATTGGGGCCATCAAGACCAGGAGTCATAGTGAACATTTCATTGGGACCATCAGTCCATGGGTCACAGTGAGTATTTCATTGGGGCCATCAAGACCAGGAGTCATAGTGAACATTTCATTGGGACCATCAGTCCATGGGTCACAGTGAGCATTTCATTGGGGCCATCAAGACCAGGAGTCACAGTGAGTATTTCATTGGGGCCATCAAGACCAGGAGTCATAGTGAACATTTCATTGGGACCATCAGTCCATGGGTCACAGTGAGCATTTCATTGATGCCATCAAGACCAGGAGTCACAGTGAGTATTTCATTGGGGCCATCAAGACCAGGAGTCATAGTGAACATTTCATTGGGACCATCAGTCCATGGGTCACAGTGAGCATTTCATTGATGCCATCAA